CACATAAAAATACCTTTTTTATGGTAATAACACCATAAAAAGTTTAAAAATCTACTTATAGTTAAGAAACTTAGTGTTATTCCCCCAGTTATTGACCCCAAACTAACCCTTTTAGCCCACCATAAATATAATGTGTAAAAGACAAATATGCCTCTAAATTAAAATTCCAGACAATTTTAATTGTTTTAAAATTTCAAAAATCATATGGTGCTTTTCAATGCTCATCATAGGGAAATATTTTTAGCCTCTGCAGGAAGGTGATAATATTATGTTTAATTATATAGGACATTTAGGAAAAAAAAATCAAAATATTTTTGAAAGAGAAATATCTCTGATATCCCTGGGAGGTAGGTGAAAATTATTATACCCAATTTTCTAATGGGTAATCTCAGGCACAAAGGTTAAATAGTACCCCCCCTAAACATAGTGATTCAAGAGAAATAACACATCACCACCGGATGAAGGCTGCCAGGTAACATTCCCAGAAGCCTCCATTTTCTCTTTAATCACCAGTTTCCTCTTCCCAATTAAATGTATTTAAAAGGGGGCACTTATCAGGCGTATTTGAAACAATGTTTTGAGGAATGTTACAACTTACATCCCTTAATACCATCACATCTGTTGTCAACAAGAAACATAAACATTAGATACTGAAAATTATTAATTTGGTTGAGGGGTAAATTAAATAACCATTAATTTAAGCCAAATTATCAGGCAAATTAAAAGAAAACTGAAGATGTCTCAAGAATGTTACCGGTTATATGAGTTCTTCCTCAGTATCTGAAGTCTTGCTACCTTTACCCTTATAAATCTCCTGATGTATAGCAGCTAGATGGATTTTACAAAATCATTTCCCAGAAGAGAATGTCACCTTTTTAATGTTGACAAAGTTGCTAACTTCTTTCAAAACTTATTCAGATACAATTCCATGCTCCCAGTCCTCAGTCTCCCTGCCACAGCGCCCCTTAACAACTTGACCGCCACAGACTCTTGTTATTGCAGGGCTTTCTCTAACAGTACTGATGCCGTGTTTGAAGGGCTCCGAGCAGTGGATCACATCCAGGAGTAGTCAGAGTCTACTAAATTTATTTTATTTGTAATAACTGACTTATGTGTGTGTGTGTGTGTGTGTGTATATGCATGTTTTTTTGTTGTTGTTGTTAACTTCTACAAACAGATATTCAAAGGAGGAAGACAGCATCTTGTTTAAAAAAAAAAAAAAAAAAATTTCCAATCCACCCATTTGAATCCACTAAACCCAATGGAATAAACAAGGCAGAAATTTTGCAATCATTGAAAGAGGGAGGGGCTCTTGGGGAAAGATGCAATGGTACAGCAGCTACTAGTTTTATATATATTACATATGTATACATATATACCTACATATATATGTATGTATGCTTCTTACACATATATCCATATACATATAAATAAAGGAAGAACATTATAGCACGACATGACGTTGGCAAGTTTGTGATTCTTCCTCCTGAATCCCCTGACTTATTAGCCTGTACTTTAAAATATCTGAGAAGTTTCATAAGAAGGGGGAAAAGAAAGAAAAAAAAAGGCACTTAACAAAGACAAAGGCCTGAATTGAGCATGTTTGAGGAGCAATATAAGTATTTCAGCAGAGCTAAGAAATGATTTACAGAGTTAAACTTTTATCCTTACATTTTATAAAATAAAATTGTATAACATTTTGTAATGAGTTGTTTACCTACTACTGCATTTTCCTTCTGCTTCATTATTACAAAAACAAAAGCCCCCCCAGCAAAAACAAGACAAAAACCAAACTAAAACAAAACAAAACAAAAAAACAATCATACATGCACAGTAAAAAGTAAAAGTGCCCTTTTTGAGAACATAAGGTCAGCAGAAACTGGTGCTGAAGCACAGGGAAAGTTCTCAAGTTTGGCCTGATTATAGATTATTCTCATTCTCCTATTTCTAATGTAAAACAAATAAAACAAACACCAAACAGACAAAAGAGTCAAACCTAAAACCTAAAACTTAAATGATGTAAGAGTACAGGGACCAGTGTGTTTTTATGGTACACTCCTGAAACAAAATATCCTAATTCTAGACATGGTCAAGTTTATGACAGAACCACCTAGAAATAAAGAACTGCAAATTAAAGTCAACCAATACAGGCAAATTTCATCTTACAAATGTAGCAGCAAATATGATAACTGGAGTTCTAAGAGATGATCCCACGGGACACAGAGTTCTCGTAATCAATGGCAGTTTGAATAAACAGTAGAATTTCCATTTCAGAAAATGTCTTGAACCAAGCAGAGGTGGAAAGGGGCGTGGCAGAGGGCCCAGGAAGAGAGAGTAGGGTGGCTGCCCTTTCCAGCCCTGGCAAGTAAACAATTTAGATCTGCTTTGGGAAAAAAATCCTGGGTTAAAAATCTTTTCCAATAAATTGTTTTCAAACAGGTGTCAAACCCACAGTATTCAAAAACACACATGTGCTGGGTTCTTCCCCTCACCTTGGTGACACAGTAAACCCTACTCAACTTCTGTGACATAAAAACTGTAATTTGGGCTAACGACATCCATCAGAGGGGTGGTAGGCATGAAACAATGTACTGACACAATCCTCTAATTTCCTCAAACATCAAGATTTTGAGACTTCAAATTAACTCCATTTCCTTTCCCCAAACCTTTTTCTTTAGGCTGTTAAAATCATGACTTCTTTACCCTCTGATCACAGAAACATATGACAAAGAATTATAATCATCTTTGAATGAAAATTATTGCTTGCATTTATTTTGGGGGCTCTGAATGAGCCTGACACTTTGCTCCCCAAAACAGTCTCCAACTGAGGCTCAGCACTGCTATCTCTGAAGACAACTCTGCTGACCATTATTGCTTGTGAATACTGAGGATTAACTGGTATGTACAGTAACAGCTTACACATCAGTGAAGGCAATTTAAAACACAAGACAATTGAAAATAACAGCTTAATCTTCCTGAATCAAGAATCCCACTGACTGGGACATAATTAAGTGTGCTGATTAATTTTGCATTGGGATGTTGCTAATGCTCTTCAGAAATACACAATGTTCTATATCCTTTCCAATTGCTCACCATTTTAAAAAATAACATAATTTGACTTTTAAGTGCAAAAATACTGTATGGTTCACAAGTCTCTGTGCTAAAAAATAACCAATTTCTATGCTTGTTTTAGTTAGAAAAACTAGAAAGATAGATGACCACAAAGCATGGACACCTTTTTCAATGTCATGATCTAGAAAAGAAACAGTTTTGTATTTACATGTAGGAACGCTCTGATCATACTCACCTATAAAGAAATATAAAGATGTTTGTTTCTACAACATAAAAGTGTAGTCTTGATTGACATGCAAATTGGCAGACATGAAAATGTGTGTGGGGGGCTGAGGTGGGAGTCTGGCAGAAGTCCTCAAAGGATCAAGACCACAGAGAACAGAACAGAATCTCCATCTACGTGAACTCTTCAAACCCTAGGGTCTTCAGCTATTTTTACTGGTTAGGCATAAAGTGATGATGAGGGGAGAAGTGGTAAACCTTTACTCTTCTAGTGACAACAAAGAGTCAGGGTCTGTCTTACCCCCACACAGTTCAGAACCGATGGGTATGAGAAATTAAAACAGCTCTTTCTAGACTTAAACTCACAGTGCAGGTGTCTGCATGCAGATGTGTGCACACACACACCGAGAGGAAGACGTGCAGTGCGCCGGAGAGGAGATGAATGTGCACCCTGATCTCTCTGCGTAGAGGATGGAAACAAAGGCTAACATCCCCAAAGAAAATTCCTCTGTAGTTTTAGCCAGACTTCCTCCTCTCCCCAAATTAAATGAAAACAAGAGGTATATTACAGTGGAATAACAAAAATTGGGTTTCACTAATTAGAAAAAAAAAAAACAACCAAAAAACAAGTCAGACCTCTCTGCAACATTCCAAAATATCTACCAGGATTGATGACCACTTTCTTACTTGCTTTATTTACAAACTAAATTCTTAGAGGCAAGTAATGTATCAGTCACTCCTCAATTAAGCATTTTCCCTTACAAATTCTTGGAACTTTGTTATGAAAGGAAGCCAATGTGACTGAAGTCAAAATACAGGCATGCAGACTAAGTTACTTGGGACTTTTGTTCATAAAAGGAAAAAAGGACCCAGTTAATATCTTTTTTAATAATCTCAATGCGACAGGGTGACTGATAATGAAAAGACATGTAAGAAATCCTGCTACTACCAATCTGATGCTGTTTTTAGGGGAGTCTGTCATTAGAAACGGACCAAGCTTCCACCTTTCTTGGGTACAGTTTGAAATGTCCCAAAGCCTTCTAAGAAGCCTAAGTATCGAGAAAGGGCCAGGAGGCAGGCAACGACAAAGGAGGAGAATCTAGAACAACGATGAGGCAGAAAAATTTAAGTAAAATGCAGTCAAGCCGAATAAATTTCTTCCTTCACATCCTTTGCTGAATACCCTACTTGCATGAGGAGCTGTAAGAACCAGGAGCCAACGTGCGGGTTTACTCACAGGTCAGCGCTCGCAGTATTAGTAAAGCTTTAAGATCCCAAATGCTTCCAATCAATTTCACTATACTGGATACAGGGAGTAAAAATACACTGACTGTTATAAAAAATAATTCCTTGTACACATGACGATCCTACTGTAATTCCTCCCTTTAAAATACCATCTTAAAATTGCAAAAATATATATATATATATGCTATTTGAAAGAAGCATATGTAATATACACATATACCTGTGTCTATCAATAGTTAATATCACCTGAAGTACCACTAGCTAAAAGAACAGTGGGAGAAGCTATGAACTGAAGTTGGGGGACATTTACAGTTCATATTGGTAGGCCTTCAAGGGCTAAGAGCACCAAAGCCGCAGCCCTACATCAAAGATCCCTATTTCTCAAGAGAAAAATGTGAGCACAATCACATTTTACCATCAAGAGTGGAAATAAGAATTAACCAGTCGATACAGATGCACATATCACCTGAAGAAGGGAGTTAAGTGCCTGCTTCTGATGGAAGATGAAATTGATCCTTTTACAAAAAGGTGACATCTAAGTTTCATCTGTTAACAACAGGCTCAATTTCTTGACTTTTAAAAATCTCCATGATTTAATAATATATATCACTGTGCTAAAATAACTTTCCTGAAGCATCCTTAGTCCACTGATTTATACAGGGAGTTGCTACACACTGGAGAAGATTCAAGTGGTTCAGGATTTCGGAGGGTACAGGATTTTCTGTTGCTGTCTGTGTCGGACATACGGTCATTCATTTTTTTGTGGTAAATTTGCTGCACAGTCCGTTCAAACAGACATGAGCTATTCCTGACAAGCTGGCCTAATTCCAGATATACTGTCGTTTATTATGCAATTCCTTCTACAAGTATTCAGATCCAACCCTCAAGATGGATGGAGTTTACCCAAATCCTCAATTTCTTCTACCTCTGGGGGGCGGGAGGGGAGTGTCAAATTTGTACTTCTGTGGGTTTGACAACTGAGTCTTTTTCAAGTCAGTTAAAATGGTAACTTTGTCTTTCTTTAGAAGAAACCAAAGGTCACTAACTTTGCATTTCTTCCTCCTGCACCTGGCTTTACTCAAGTAATGTTTTCTTTTCTTTTTTCCTTCTCACCACAGTGCTTGGGACGAGAATGTAAACATCGACAGAACAGCAGCCCTATGACCACACAGTACTTTCCATCAGGTAGACTCCGTCAGCCAGCTGAGTGTCTCATCTCCTTGGCTTGCTGGGATGTCACTGAGATTTCCGTGGTAATTTAGTGTCCCCTTTACTTTGGCCTCCATCTGGAAAAAGAGATATTTAATTGGAATAGGTCAGCATGTTATAAAAAATAGGTAAGAAAAACAAAGCAGTAACAACAACACGTTTAACTTTCACGTGGGTGACACTACTTAAAGACAACCTTTAATATATCTTACCTGCTAAAATATTCAGGAGGCCAAGATAAAAACTCATCAAAACGATCCTCTTATCTCACATGGCTGAGTCCAGTATCATATACATACATTTCAACAAGTATCAGTAGCCTCATAGTGAGCTGTGTTAGTAACAGTTAAGGACTTAAAAAAAAAAAAAAAAAAATAGCCCTGACCTCCTCCTTCAAAGGACTACCCTATGTTTTAATTCCTTTAGAAGGCAAGGACAATTCCATTTTCCTGCAAGTGAAATTAAATTCCCTGTTGTAACATAGCATTTGATCATTAGTTTTCAATTTGTTCCTCTTTTAAAAAAAAAAACTGAGTCATTTATACATATAAGCACTGGGGTATAGGCCAGAGGTGTGTATGTGAGCGGATTCCCCTGAGACAAGAGTGGGGAGCAGAACAGATGGATCTATTGAAATACACTGCTGAGGGGAGCAGCAGGTAAGACAGCTACCTGGCCTGGGATCAAACTCAGGCCACAGTGGGTGACAGTAGCTTGATCACGTTGAGCCTTTAACCCCTGTGCCACAAGGGAGGCCCTGAAGAGGAACGTATTGCTGTATTACAATAACACCTTAAGGCTGGAGGGAGAACACAAATCACACTGCTAAGTCCACTTGTGAGAGTTAAGTTATGCTGGTAAAACATGAAATAACGAAAGCTTCCTTCCTTTATTGATTTTTTAGAGCTTTATTTACTATGCGTATAAGAACTGGGATACAGGTCAGAGAGGCAGAGGGTGAGAGGATGCACCAGAGACAGAGTGGGGAGCAGAACAGGCAGATCTGCTAAAATACACTGCTGAGGGGAGTAGGGGGTGGACCAGGTGCCGCACCATGCGGGTCAGCTCCCTGGCTGGGGATCAAACTAGTGCTGCAGTGGCTGTGGACAGGTTCACAGTGCTGTGCTTCAACTCAATATACCACCAGGGCAGGCCCAAAGCTTCCTTTATTACAGAGATTTATCAGTGAAACAAAGTGATATTTCAAAAGTTATCAAGCAGGTTGTTACTAAAATAACTGGTGACAATATCTAAGGAATGGGCTTTTTGTTTTATAATGTGCTTTTGCATATTGTGAGAGAAATGAATCCATTTGAAGTATAAATTCACAAGAGTAAGGTAGTTTTCAAGTGTGGTTTTACTTACTTAAAGCCTTGGTTAATTAGATAAATAAAATATAGATGACCCTTGAAAAACTAAAGGGTTAAATTAGAGTGTGTGTGTGTGTGTGTGTGTTCCCCATCCAGGGATTCAACTGACACCCCCAGTATCCAGGGAGAGAAAAATCCACATATAAGTGGAACTTGCAGGTCAAACTTGTGTTAGTTGTTAACTATTTTCATATTAACTGGACTGCGAGATTCTCAAGATTAAGGCTTGCAAACTTTGGCACAAAGACTAAACATGCCCCCTCCCTTTTAAATTATATTTAAAATATTTATTTATGCATACAAGAATTGGGGTATAGGCCAGAGGTGTGGGATGAGAGGATTTACTGGGGAGCAGAACAGGCTGACTGACTGAAATACACTGCAGAGGGGAGCAGCAGGCAAGACAGGAGAGGCCTGCTGCGCCATGTGGGTCAGCTCACAGGCCAGGGATAGAACTCACACTGAAGCAGCTGGGGCTGGCTTGCAGTGCTGCACTTTAACCCACTGTCCCACCAGGGAGGGCCAGTTCAGACTAAGTGGCAGAGAAACTGAATGTTAAGAAGGAAGGCTGTGGTCAGACTCTTGGGTCCTCAATGTAACAGCAGCATATCCCAAGCAAGTGCTCACCTCTCAGTTCCTCGTGTGTTAGGAGGAGACTGTTATCTCAGGCAAGGCTTCTTGTGAGGGTTAAATTAGCTAACAGAAGGCAGCAGTCACCAGACTCCCTGGCACTTACATTTTTAATCAAGTACTGTAAGTACTACACATGAATCTTACACAGTTCTATGGGTCCTTCTTTGTGACCATGTCCATGAAACACACTCAAACTGGCAGCTCTTTACACATGATGAAAGATCTCACTCACGCACACCCTTTCTCTTAAAAGGAGTTTGTTGTCAATGAGGATTTGGCCATGAAAACTTGCTTTCTACCCCTTGTCATTCCACTGACATTATTTTCAGGAAAGATTTATAATCTACACCATAACTCTACATAAATAAAGAGCTGAGGACAGCAGTGGCTTTCTTACCATGAAACGTTTGCTGTAAGTGTGCGGGCAGAGGTGAGTGGGGAAGCGTTGCTGCATGCTGAGCTCCTGGTTGTAAACCCTTTAGTAAATCTAAGAGGAAAACACACCTGTTAGTAACCTTCTTAAGACTAAGATTTGTGCTCTTAGATCAAAAATGCAAATAGTTTAATTTATCTAATGCAAGCACAGATCCTGCCTTCAAAGACCTTAAACATAAATGTTTAAAAATTGCATCTGTAAATGCTTATTATGTATGCAAAATGACCCAGCACACCTGGCTTCCTGTTACTAAAATTTCATTCAAAGAAAAGATAGGTGGCTTATTAAAATCTGTAAACAAGATCTCAGAATCCAGTTGATAACTTATAGATCAGTGAAATAAACTGCATTGATTACAAAAAAAGTTCTATCGTCTCCACTAACTCCAACTGGACTAATCTCGAGCACATACATCTGGTGAGAAAAGCCCACTTACTCTGAGTTAGGCTATGGTGGAAAGCGGCTGAGGTAGATCCCGACGTGCTTGTCACTCCAGCTGTGTCCGCTCCAAAGCCAAGTAGCTCCAAGGGAAACTGGAAGGGCATGGTCACTGGAACAAGTCCACCCAGCATCCCAAAAGGAGTCACATTTTGATTTGTTACAGACAAAGGTGATGTCATGAGAGTCAGAGGTGAGGCATTAGCCAATAATGATGCTCCTGCTGTGGACTGCAGAAACCAGGGGTCAAAACACACACGAAATCAATTCCTTAACCGAATTATTTTATTTAATATCCCCATGGATGCAATACTGTGTCTTAAATCTGCTCTAACAGAAACTCTGCGTCAGAAATGAAGATTGAAGAGAAAAAATATATTTCAAAGAGCTATCATTTTGTAAATATGATTGTATTTAACTATTTATCATGCTAATGATTAATGCAATATCAACACCTACTCACCCTCTTAACCCATTCATTTCTACCGTAGATGCCTACTTTTCCACTTTTGCTCCTAACCCCAGATCTGAACCACTAGTTATTAATTCCAGTTTCAATCTGGCTTCTGAAAGTGCTCGTTAAATCTTCCTAATTAGCCTGACAATCTTTCCTGGCACAACCCCTGCAGCTGCTGTTCCAGACTATGCTGCTTCTAGAGCTCCTTACTCAGTATCCTGTACTTTCCCGAGTATCACGGAGAGAGAAGCGGCCGCCTGCATGCTTTTCCTCATCATCAGTCTTACTAGTTCTCAGCGGTTAAGTACCTGAACTCTGCTATGAGTCCTACCTCTGCAGACCTTTCTGGTGCAAACACCTTGTACTGCACCTTTACGGGGTTTGCACACATATCCAGGGGCCTCTTGTTTTATTTATTCATTTTTACAAGCATGCTGGCTTTCCTGGCTCCTCTTCAACCCTTAGCAACAACCTGACTTATTTGCGTCACTTTTACTGTCAAACTTACTGAATGCTACATCATTTCTTCTTTCCTTAACTCCTGAAAGCTAGTTTCCATTTTACTACCTGCACCCCTATGCTTACTGCTGCTCTATTTACAATAGGGAAGATGTGGGCTCAGCCCAAATGCCAAAACAGGTGATTGGGCCAAGAAGATGTGGTATATGTACACTATGGAATATTACTCAGCAATGAATCAAAAAAGATAAACTCATGCCATTTATGGCAACATGGGTGGAGCTGGAAAGAATCATGCTTAATGAAATAAGTCAGAAGAAACAGAAAAATACCAATGGTTTCACTCATAGCAGGAGTATAAGGGATCAGGGGAAAAGAAAAAAAATATATATATATATAGTGAAATAAGCCAAAAAGAAACAAAAATAGCAATGGTTTCACTCATAGCAGGAATATAAGAGATCGGGGGGCAGGCAGGGGGAATATATATAGATAGATAGATAGATATATAGTGAAATAGGCCAAAGAGAAACAAAAATACTGATGGTTTCACTCACAGCAGGTGTATAAGGGGTCAGGAGAAAAGAAAAAAAAATGTATGTATATAGTAATTGTAATAAAGTGAAAAAGAACATCAACTAACAACTGTGGGCCAGAGACATTCTACAGGGGAAGAGAAGGGAACAGGATCACAACTGGGGTGGGAAGAGCACACGGGACTGTGGTGATGGCACAGGGTGAAGTGGTGGTGGGAAGTCCATGGGGATTACAGCTGAGATGGAAAAATGTACAAAATGAAGAGTGATGTGAATATATATAAAAGGGAAAAAAAGCCCGTCCCTTTAAAATATATATTAAAAAAAAACCAACTTTTACAATTCTAAATATAGTGAAAACTGAATTCTTTGAATATTTTTTTAAACAGTAATAAATGATAGCTATTTTCAAGTTTATTTTTGTGAGCTAATCATTTCTACCAATGATTATTAAAAATAAGTGTCTTCTTAGTTAACGTATAAGAAAAATGTAGGTGATTTCCCCACACAGGTAAGCTGCATTACATGTCTCTATACACTTAGTGGTCTATGCAAGAAATGATGGATGTCCAAGAATGTGCGTCTGTGGTTCTTTCATCATTTCCCCAAAGCCTTTCCTTCCCTATCTCCTTTATTTGTTATCTCTCACGTGTATATGAACAGTTTTGACTCATCTCAAGTGAATAATTCCACCTGGATATCTAACACTCATACACGCAGCGACTGATCACATTATCTCTGGTGACCCTTCGCCTCCCCGGGACCCCTGATGCCAGGATGTTCCTTGCTACCATCAAGTCTCATTCTGTCGGGTTTCAAGCATCATAAAATAAAGGACAAGATGAGCTCACAGTCAGCATATAGTCATATGCCCGTTCTTTTTATTTTTTCAACCACATCTCTCTCCAACACTTAAGTAGAAAGGATCAGTACCTTATGGTCACACTTTTCTACTTATTTGCCAATTTCTCCTCTATTGTGCCAATCTCAATACACAAATTCAAAAAGCAATTCAGAAAGAATTACTGTTAGAAATAATAATACTTTCAAGCACCTTGGAGAAAAAGGTTCCCACATTGATTTAAAAATGAGCAAGCGTGTTTTCTTCTTTTTAATCGTAATTCTATTGCAGTCTCAGGGAAATATGGGATACACACTCCACCCCACCCCAAGTAAGGCCCCTGATAAATTGCTGATAAGGAAAAGTCTTCAAAACAGTAATATGCAGAAATGTCCAACAGTCCGTACTTTCAGAAACTTCCATATCCACTTTTTACTTGTTTATAAAACTAAAATGTCATATCAGATGAACCAAATGTTACATGGGCTTTTCTCCTGCTAGGAGGCAGACACCTTCCAGAAGTGGAGTACCCCACACTTGATGTCCCTTGGAAGACACATGCCAGTTGTTAACATGAAGTGGGCAGACAGCAGGATAATGCCCCGTAGTCCAAAATACTTTCTGTGAGCATCACATCTCATCCCCAGAGGAAAGTAGGAAGGGGAACCTTGCCCTTCCTGTGGTGAGCATTGCATTTTTTAAAAACCAAGTTTTATTTTGGTGAGTACATCTGTTCCCTCTCCAAAACACATAGAATGATCTTTTGAAATGTAAGCCAGACCATACCACACTCTTGGCTGAAGACCCACCAACAGTTTCCCGTTACACACAGAATCAAGTCCTTATTATGGCCCACAAGGTCCTCCACCTCATGGCTCTGGTTCACCTCCAGCCCCATGGCCTACCCACCTCTGCCCAGTCCAGCTGAGGAGGCCTTCACATCAGGGTCTTTCCTATCTCACATGGACCAGCCATCTTGCCCAAATTATTTACTCCCTCCTGTTTCCAATGATTGGTTCTTGTACATTTAATTACCAGCTTAAATGCTGCTTCTTCCAAGCAGTCTTCCCGGATTTCCTTAACTATGCTAATCTGAAGGGGGGCAGGGGGGGGATCTTGAGTTTGAGTTTGGTGTTCACTTTATTTCCCCAGCACCTAGAAGAGTGCCTGGCACATATTAAACACCTCAGAAACATGTGCTTAGTGAATAAATTATTTTGAAAATCATAAAGTGGCAAAGACAGGAATCACAAAAAGTCAATTAACTTGAAAGGCAAAAGAAGAGGCAAGCATAAGTGAAAAATTATCAAACAGAAAGCAGTCAAGGTAATAATCCAAACCCAGAGGATTTCAGTTTCCATTAAACTTTGAACCTGTCACTTTCACTCTGCAAATGAGCACACAGTCAGTTATGCTCTCAGACAGGAGCTACATTTACAGCAGAAATAGGGTAACTGTTAGTAATGAAATGCTAGAGAACAGGGCCACACGGTAGTTCAGTGAGATGCTAAAGAAAAAGAATCTTAGATTCATCAAGAGGTAGAAAACCTTATTCAATTATTGCTTTTCTTTCCCATCAAACCAGTAAAACCAAACAAAAGTGATCAGGTACAGTACGAACAGAGATCCCCAAACCATAAAGCTGCTCTAAAGAGGAAGAAAAGCAGAAAGAAGCGGTTAGATTTGGAAGCACACGTTCTGCCACGCAGGTTTCTTGCTGACCAAACATGCAGGGTGCATGTTTTGGGGTGTGTGGGTGTGAGTGTACACACTATGTAAATGATCACACAGGATGGTTTCCAGGGGAAATAAAGAGAACCAATAGATTCTGGAGATGAAAAGGGATGGAGAAAGATTTAAATTCAAAACAAAGCAAGTGAAAAATAAAATTTAACTCCAGGAAAAAAGTAAAAAAATTCTAAGTAAATGAAACCAGTTTATGATATTAGTTCAACACACACAGTATTTACACAGTTGTGGAGATAATGAGGGTTGTGACATTACTTTCAGGAAAGTGGGATAGGTCTAAGAGAACTAAAAGCCTCCTTTATCATGAAGAGAAAACAAAATACAAAAATTGATAAATTAGGACTCCCCCATTCACTTTTATTACTTAAAACAGAAAAAGCTAAGCGTTCAAAATAGACACTAGAAAAAAGCTGGCAGGTAACTGACATTTCTGTTATAATTCTTGCAACATAATCAAATTGAAGATTTCAAAAATATCCAACATTTTTAACTAAGAAAATATTAACAGAAATGTGGGTTAACTCGTAGCCCTTAGTTATAACTCAAATTTTAACATACATTCCTTACTGTCATTTGGATTTTTATTATTTTCTTACTTCTGATGAAAATAAAATTGTATATAGAAAACATCGGTTAATTCCAGATTACAATTAAGGCAGTGCCAGTTAGTTCAATTTTATTTTAGATTAGAATCCTGGAATAAAATTACTGGCTCAGTCTAGAGTGACAGCAGAGGAGTGGTTTGGCTGCTGAGTGAAAACTGCACAGCAACACCCAACGGTGCGCGGAACGGCAGGGAACCCGCAAACACCGAGACGAGACGCAACCAGGAGGCCGCACCGCACCGGCCAGAGCATGTGCTCCCAGCCGCGTCGCAGAAATGAGGGCCACAGTTTCACAGACAAAGAAACAAAACACTAACATATCATAAATGTATTTTTTAAAGGCTGGTTATGAAACACAGTAATATATAAAACATACTTTCTTGAAATGAGCTTAAAAAAGTACCAAGAAGATATAAACAGTGGTGAAAAATGGGTGATTTTTATTTTCTTTTTCTGAATTTATCTGCAGTGAACATAAATCTTGTGAAATAAGTAAAAACCATTTCAGAGACAGTAAGAATGCTAAAGAAACCAAACGTATATTTGAAAGCCAAATCTGAGAATGTCTCAGAGTACAAAGTGGCAACACGATGATGAACATGGGAGATGATGACACAAGAGGCCAAAGGGAAGTGAGTGAGTAATAAAAAGAGTACCCAAAACCCAGGCAGAAGAGCCAGAAATAATAACCAGGCACATAGAATAACCTACCACTCCAAAGCAGAAAAAAAGTCAGGTCTAAGACCAAAAGATATTACCATGCTCTGGATATAAAATTAATGAAAACTAGATAAACATAGCCATGGTCTGAGAACACTTGAATTTTGAGGAAAAAGAGAAAAACTTATCTAGCACTTAGGCAGAGAATCAGAGTAAATATAAGGGAACAAAAAAACCAGTATCGCCTGAGACTCATCTAAAATAAACCTGAACGTTAAGCAAGGGTCAAAGGAACAGGACCTGCAAATCTGAGAGCCACTGACCCAGGCTCCTCCTCCTTAGGAGCCAGCACAGAAACGGGGCAAGAGCTCAGGTGAGATATCCTCACAGTATTGCTCGTGCACAGATTCCATGAGGGAGGTTCTCCTGCTGGCCGAGAGATGAATTTAATTTAAAAACTCACAAACGGGGAAATTGTGGTATAAAAGGATGACTCACTAATTTGACAGAGAATTACGTGCACCAAAGTCATGCAAAATAAAAATTCTATTTGAAAAAACAAACGTCTAAAGGGAAATGTATAACTTAATGTGTTTAATTAAATGAAAAATAAGAAAACCTTCAGGAGAGGAGGATTAGAGAGAGGAGACAAGTGAAGTCAAGCTCAGGAGTCACTCTTTGCTCTGGACTTTGACAAGATAAAAGTTTTAAATATGCATTTTACTTACGCTTTCGAAAACACACACGCCGTATTTAAAACAGATTCACACTGCAACAAAACCTGTCCCCAAGGGTCCCGCGCTATGACGTCACCATCAGGTGCACCCACTAACTACACAGGCCAGTTACAAACGACCTGCCTATTGCGCCGCCTTGATTAAATCAACTCCCAAGAAAATCGGCACAATCATTAAGTTTAACACAGGAAGGTCTGTGATACACATACCTGCACACTGGCTGCCACCACTGAAGACCCTGAGGCAGAGGATGGTCGGTGTGGAGTAGACAACGGCTTAGTAGCACCCTGTGTTCCACTTCCTGTTCCCCCAGACAGACTAGTCCTGCTTGCTCCGCTTGAGTTAAGGTTGCTACCTCTGCTGGCAGGTACATTCACTGCAATTCCACTCAAGCTATTCTTCCCAGCAGTTCCAGTGGACGATGAGTTTGTTAGCTTTGAAGGGGCCTGAAGATTTTTTGCAGACGGAAGGCCTGAAGCACGACTAGAGGGTAGTAGGTTCAAGGTGGGGGACTGCCTGCTGACGCTGACCCCACTGGGCTGCTTGTGCACTGTGCTGTTACTGCTCGAGGGGCTACTCTGGGCGACGAGGGCATTTGGGCTGGAAGAGCTGGGGGACACGGTAGGCTTGGGGGCGGGGGTGGGTTTAGAAATCAGTTTAGTTGATGCTGAAGGCTTAGCTGACAAAGAGGGCTTGGGTGAGGCCGAAGGCTTAGACGAGGGCAGGGGTTTAGGAGATGTGGCAGGTTTGGGCGATGCGGCGAGCTTGGGGGATGCAGTCATTGAGAAGGGGGATTTGAAACCCTGCGTGGAGATTTGTGACACCATAGCCTTGGCTAAGTAATTACTGGAGGTAGTGGTGCTGGGTGCTGTCCTAGAAACCAGGGGGTGGGACCCTTGAGAACCATTTCCAGGTGAGGGAGTAGATAAAGGAAGGCGGTACATAAGTGGCTTATCTGAAGTCTTAATAAGTGGGGATGAACAGGAAAGTTGGGGATTATTACTTAATTTCACCACTGGGTTGGTCTGTGACTTACTAATGGTTGCTTGTAATGGAGACACATAGTTCTGTTGGACAGCTGAATGCTGGTGCACCTTTGTTACTTGTGTTAACGAAGAAGCATCTTGGGCCTCTGATGTTCCCAGAGCGTGAGAGGAGGCAGCAACTTGGGCTTGGGAAGAAGAGGAGACATGGGTCTGTGAAGAGGAAGAAGTGTGAATCTGGCTTGACCTCTGTAGTCCTTGCTGAAGTAGCCTGGCTGGCAAAGGTTCTAAGGAAACTTTTGGGTTCTGAATTGAAGAACCAGCAATAAGGCCTGAAGAAATGCCAGTATGAGCTAAATCTTGGGGTTTCTTTGGTACTGGCCCTGTGTGACCAGCAATAAGACTTGATGAGTGTGCAGTCTGAGTAGACTCTAGCTTTTTAGGAGTCGCCAGTGGCAGCTTACTCATGATACTCGCTAATTTTTCTTCTCTGAGTCCCGGGCGAGGTTTTGCAGTTGGCATGTTGATCCTAGAGCCAGCTGGAGGGCCCTTGTTCCCATTGTTGATAACAGCTAATGCTTCAGACACAAGATCCAGTGCAGGTGGATGGAAAGACAGGTCTTCGTCAAGTGAGTCATCGAGGCAGATTGTCTCCTGGGCTGGCGTAGAGCTGGAACTGGTGGAGGCCACAGCCGACGTGTTGGAGCTCGTTGAAGGACCAACGGAAGCCACTAATGAGGCCGGAGTCTTCTGGTCCTTTTTTGGGCTGCAGTCCTGGCACAAACAGCATTACATTGGAAAAAAAACCCAGATGATTAATTAAAAAATAAATAAGTAAAAAGCATTAGTTTTTAAAGGAAAAGAAACTCTCTTGGGTGAGTGAAATTTACTGGAAACCTCTGGAGACTGTAAAGCCACAATGAGTTTTGAGAGAGCAGAGCACCTGACTGACCTGCCTCCTAACAGCACTGATCGCGCAGCCTGTCGCACCTTAGGAGGACTCTAAGCGGGCTTACGAGCACACTAAAAGGACACCCACGTACTATTAACGCACTGCTGCTCACCTGGACAGATTTAGATCTTATTCCAGATTCAGGTGTTCAGAGGCTGTTTTCTCTTTAGTCTCCTATACATAAGAGAAATTCTGCCTCTCTCTTAAGAATCTACACAACCTCTCCCTTCCTTCTTATGTTTCTGTCTCTACATGGAGAAACTGGCAGATGAGTCAATCTGAGCATACTTACACTGCAGTTTCTATTCACTATGCTAGAATAGAAGTCCTTATTTCTTTTTCTGAGACACACTTAGCTGAAGATACAATTCATTTTTGAACTACGTAACCAAGTCACAACTATCACACCCCCTCCACCATCGTCCATTTGATCCCTGCTCCCTCTGCATCCCAGAAGCAGGAGTAGAGGAAGGCACTATACTAAGAGAGGGCCTTAGGAATGAAAATTCTTGACACTTAAGAGAATATAAAAACAGAAAAATAGAAAAACAGACAATAGTCTTATTTGTCCAAAAAAGGGTAATATCCTTAAAATGTCAGGAAGAGATAAAATTAGAGAGCACAGCTTAATACTCAAAGAGCAAAATAATTAAAAAGTAACTTTTCTCTAAAAGGGAAGTATGAAGAATGTGACTTGTTGCAGTTTTAAGGTTAAAATGAGATAGAATAATTACACAAAAATCATTTCAAAATTTCTTCAAAACAAACCATCTCAAATAAATCCAACCTCAGCGTCTCATGTTATATATTGATTTACACAATGACATTGGGAAAAGAAAGCAGAGGAAAGATGTGAATGGTCACCTTTTAAGGCCATACAGTAATAAATAAGCGGGTAAGAATGCTGTGATACTCTACCTCCCTGTTCAAAGCTTCTATTCTGAAAGCCCACTTGGGAACCTCACTGGCTTTCAGAAGTCTGTGAGGGAACTACATGAGTTCCCTCAAAGTTGGCCACTAAGTCGAACTGGCAAATGCATGAGACACATTGCTCTGACACGTCATCCAATCACAAGACTAGTGAAAACTTCGCCTTGTGAAAATTACAGAAACTTCATACATATGTATATATATATATATAGGTAGGGAAAGTGTATGAGAGTAATACTGACAGTGTCAGCAACATAAATCGACTGCTTTAAGTACCGCTTTTCAGTAATAATATTTTTATTATAAAAGTAACAAATCGACCTAGGAGAGAACGAGGTAGCGTTATAGTCTGAGAAAGCAGTTCTGAATATACATTTAAATCAAAGAGGCAGGTCATGCCGTTTATGTAACTGTTGATTCAGTGTGAGCAGTGAATGCTGGTGGATGGAGACAGAGGGAGCCGGGCGGAGGCTGCACACCAGGAAGTCAAGGGCATTTTTCCTCTGAGTAAGCAGAAGTTCCTGGATACTCTTCCTTCTCCTTTTACTTTTCGGTATTGTCTGTACTTCTACAATAACTATTTCCTTTAATAACTAAAAAAGAAAAGGTATTTGAAAATTTTTTTAATAACTAAAAAAACGGTACTCAGCAAGGAAAGACAAAACCAAATTGGCAACATTATTTTCCATCTTGAAAATGGGAAAGTGACTCAATCACAGAGAAGTAAACAAAATGGGTGATTCCTCTACACCATCCCAATACATCCATTATTTGAGTTCTGGTATATCAATCATATTTGAACAGGCATCAAAATTTAACCAACCCATTACTAACTGGGACTAAAAGCCTAATATTCTAACAAAAACAGAGCCGCATGTCAAAAAAAAAAAAGCACATGAACTTAAAAGAATTTAATAAAATGCTGACAGAGTATTATTTGGTTTAGAAGACAAATAGATTACTAAGAAAAAGAGAATTATTTACTTTGTACTCAAAGAGTCTCTAACATTACAAGTTAAGAAAGTCAGAATAACAATTGAGATGAAAAAATGCACAAAATGGAGAATGATACTTAAAAAAAAAAAATCAGAATAACAAATATCGAACTGACCATAACCTTACAAGCAAAGAAACAGCTAATCAAAGGGATGAAGGTGATGGGAAAAATCAAGAATGTATAGGGTATGGTCTTCATTACAAGTTTAATTTCAAGTCATCATTGTTCTCATTTCTAAAGGTTTTTTTTTTGCTCTCTTGCAATTGTTTCATTCACTCTTATATAATTTTTAACCTCTTTTTCAATTTATTTAAATAAAAATTCTCATTTAAATTTCATTGGGACCCTCCCTGGTGGAACAGTAGGCTAAAGCACAGCTCTATGAAGCTATCGCAGCCACTTCAGCACAAGTTCTATCCCTGGCCAGAGTGACCCACATGGCTCAGCAGACCTCTCCTGACCCACTCCCTGTTCCCCTCAGCAGTGTATTTCAGTAGATCCACCTGTTCTGTTCCCCACTCTGTCTCTGGTGAATCCTGCCCCCAGCCCCTGCACCTCTGGCCTGTACCACAGCTCTTATATGCATAAATAAATAAATCTTTTAAATAAATAAATAGATTTCATTTGCTTGCTTCTGCTGACTTTTACAGTAACTCACTTTCTCATGTATTCTGTATTTCCTGATTGTAAACACGTGTTTACTTAACAGTACAGTGGTAAGAAATCTATGATAAATAACATACACACGTTTCATATTAAAAATGTAGTACATCAGTGTGACAAGTTATGACTTAGTTCAATTCTTACCTTCACTTTGGGTTTAGATGCAGGAATCACCTTTTTCTTTGTCCTAAGACAAAAAGATTAAATAGGAGGCCATTTCAATAATACTTGGGTCATTCATAAGAAAATTATATAATCTTACAATGGTAAATATTTTGTTTTGCTGTTGAGAAAACATTTGAAGGAAGGAATTATGTTTAAATCTTCAGTTTATATGAAGCAACATTTCCCCCAATTTCAATTTACTAGTAGAAAGACTAAACCATTAGTAAAATATGAAATGCACAACAAGTTATTCTTAAATTTAATGTAGATGCAACTTCAAGTCCAAATTAAACCATGCCAAGTCATTTAAGATATTATTTAAAAAGCAAAATGAAATATCAAGTTTTTAAAGAAAACTGTTTTCACTATAAAAGTTCAAATAAAATGTCAAAAAGACATGAAAAAATACTGTGGAAATTTGGAATCTGAGAAGTGTGAAAAATTCTGAATATTAAAAAATTTACAGGTTCCATAGTAGGAGAAACTAGTCAAATGTTTGCAATATTAGCTGACCAGCTAATTGCCTGAATATTTCTATTTTACTAGTGAAAATGTCATCAGTTAAATTTTATCTTGATTAAAACTGCCAAGCTACAACTTCATTTAGGTAACATTAAATTTCTATTTTTTTTGGTAAAGTCATTTGGACAAAAGACTTCCAGGCCCAATTCTTCCATTCCTACTTTCTAGCACAAAAGAAAATACAATGTTAGCCATCATACTGAACAGGAAGTAAACTTTAACATTAAAGGATAAGTTCTTTATACTTGAATTGTGAAGCATACATGATTTGAAAACTAGATGAAATTTAAATGACAGAAATATTGTTATTTACACACATGCACACTCTCCCTTACCTTACCTCCCAGAGATTAGCAAAACCTACCACAAAGTAAACCTTTATTACATGAAAACTACCTCAAACTTATGCTAAAAAAAAAATAGCAAGAATTGAAAAAAAACCATACCCAACTCAATATATTTCTGAACACTAACAAAGTTTCTTCCTAAGAACAGTAAGGAATCCCATTATTGGGTTGTAGAAAAAAATCATGATGCATTTTTATTTGAAAAACAGAAAAAATATGTCATGAGTTTTCTGATAGCCCAGTATTATAAATGTACACAAAGAGGGGGAAAATTCTGAAAGTCACCCAAAATATGTTCACCAGACCTCTGAGCAGAATATTGAATTAGTTTTCAAAAAATTCTCAGTGACTTGTTACTTTTACATTTTCTTAATCCTTAATACCAAACTTCTAAATTTGGTCCTAAGTTACAGGTAAAAATAAAACTTTTATGTAGTTACCCAATATTCACCCCAAAACTTGTCAGGAGGATGAGACCTTTCTTTAGTAATCACATCACTAAGGAAACACCTGATTTTGAACAAAGGGGAGGATGTGAAGAACAGGTTAATTTTGTGGAATAAGGCACTCTGCAGAGTAGGGTAGGGTAGGCCTGTGTGAGAACTGGTGAGGAAAGCACAGGACTCTGTGGAAGGCCGAGGGGAAGAGAGCGGACCCAGGAGACTGCAGGGCAGAGGCCCAGCACAAAGGAAACTGGCAGGGCCTTCCTGTGCACATGGCTCCTTACAAGGTGACCAGGCCACTGCGTCCGCTATGGGCGGATCCAGATTCTGGAGGTCAGTCTGAGAACTACGTAGTAGATAAATGCGTTCTGACAAAATGATTTGTTAAAAAAGCAGTGGTACAATGGAGATTGTCCAAATGTATATTTAAGTCCTATTTCACCTAGAATTTTGTTTACTGAATGTGAATAAAAATCAGTGAAGAAATCTGTGTTTACTCACGGAGCAGAAGTGAGATGATTATGTACACTCCGGCTCTCCTTAAAAAGCATTCTGGAAAAATTAAAAGGACATAATTATTTTTTCATAGCAGGTAACACAATAATCACATCATCATTCGATTTTCAATTACAACTTTCACCAAGTAAAAGCTGTAATGAACAGTGCATTCAATAATCTACTTTATGGGGAGTTTTCTACCATCTGTATTTATTTAAATCTTTTAAGAGATATATACACTTTTTCTGTTGATTTAAGCTGGAACACCGTAAGATGACAGGTTGAGATAGCCACGTTTATTAATTTTAACAATCATTTAACTCTAAACTTTAAGTGGGACTACTCTTCTTGAGATGCCACTCTTCAGTGATGATTTTCAATGGAACCTTTTTCTTAGGCTCTAATCCTTGTGTTCAGTTTACATTCATGATGTAAGTATACGGAGTTCCCTTCCTAAAGTTCATAAACCATCTCCCCTGCCCAGCCTGCTTTTTCTCTATTAGTGAGTTCAAGTGCAAAGATGAAAAAGTGGTTGATAAAACAAGCAAAAAAAAAAAAAATCGCCCTTTTATCTCTATCTCTACAGCCATGTGACTGATTTAAGGGCTTGAAGTTTTCAAAGCAGAGATCATCACAAGCTACAGGTCATAATCTGAAATGACCTGGAGAATCTTAGACACATTAGGTTCTTGGCAAAAGTAATGTCATAGTATGTGTGTAGACACATCTGTAGCAACAGCAATACGAGAAGGTAAAGTAAAATCTAGGACGCCGTGTCCTTACCTTGCCTGCATCCAGCCCTTAGGCCACAACGGCTTCACCTCTGTCTCCATAAAAGATTTAAGATAATCCTCAGCAGACTGGCTTTTATTTGGCTCTAACTCATAGCATCCCAATTTGATTTCAACAAGGTTACATAACAAAGTTCTAAACAGATTAAAAATACATATTTATATATACATCTGACTGCAAAATGATAGAAAATTAAGCTTGTTAAAGCACATAAATCTGACAGCAGTAATAAAGTATATTATGGGGAGGATTCAGAGACGACAAGGAGATAAATAATGTTTAATATACGTCATTCACAGCTACAGTCAAATCCCCAGTATGAGGCAATTCCGCCGACACTTTAGGCACCAGATACTGCAGGGACTGTCCCTGCGCCCGCTAGGGCGTGGAGGCTGGAAGGAGCACAGCTGAGTGCAAAGGTCTGTCGAGTGCTTCACCTTCTGCAACCAGTATGATTTATTCAATAATTAGAAGATTAGCTTATAAAAAATGGTATTTGAAAATAAAATTGATTGTACTCTAAGGATATTAGTACCAAACTTTTTCTTGTAAGTTTTTCCTATATACTAATTTTTGTTTGCTTCCAATCTAATCTATCATTTACCATAGATTCTTTTTATAAGAAATCTTACTTTTGCATTATCTACTTGGTTGAAAGTGAAGACTTTTTAAAAATTTTACCTAATAGTGTCATCCCAGTGGAATTTCTTTCTTGGTCCTATGACACGTTTCCCAGGCTTTTCATCATCATCTTCCTCAGATCCATTTTTTTCTCGTTCTTCATCTGTTTGCAACCTAGAAATATAAAATAATTTATGAAGCAGAATTTTAACCCAATGTTACCTATTATATACTCCATGGACACTTGTTCAATTGCCTAACTGAATGTGAACTCAAATGAAAGGGTAAGGAAGAAATCTATCCACAAAGTTGTTTGAATTATAAGTGTGTATGAAGCACCATGGCAAATAAATTCTTCAAACTATATTATGAGTCACGAACACTAATCTTTAGTTCAGAACATATTTATGAACAATCTCAGTTCAACCAAGCTGGTCAAAATGTGAACTGTCTAGCCAGAGCTGGCTCTTGCCACGAACACATCCACACACTAAAGCAACTGACCTTTTCTTTTGACACCAAATTAACTGGATGAGAAGTGACCTGTCCTTTAGAAAATGCTGAATTATACCATTTCAGTGGGGGCATGTTCTGCTTGATGATGAAGTCCACATAAGACTAATCCCTAACAGCTACAAGTGTTTCTCAAAAGGAAAAGCCAGCCCAACAGCAGAGGGACGTACTTGGCACACTTAGCTTGACTGCGAGCCTGGCAGTCTTCCTGGTATTTAAATAGCTGTTCAGGCATGACGTTGCTAACAGCAAGTTTCAGCTTTTGCAGAGGTTCTCTTAAACGATCATCCTGATGGAGAAAAAAATACAAGTTTTTAAAACATATTTGCAAAACTGCATTTAAAATCTCTATCATTTGCAAGTAATTTATATATACATAGGCAAACAAATCATTAAGACTAATGAGGTGAGTAAAAAGTGAGGTCATAAATATACTTGCAAATATATGACAGCCATCAAAGAGATTAAGTGATTAGACTTGTAAACTCAAAGAATTATGGCCAATTTTGGCTCCAAGTGTGGAAGAACTTCATGGTACTGTAATGAGATAAGCTTCTGACCAAGGGCAGCATTCAAACATGGACAACTACTTAGCAGGGCTGCAGCTGAGGAGAATATAGCAAAACATGGGTGATGACAAAGAATCCAAGTTCACATGCAACTCTGTGATTCCTTCTACTGGTCTTCATCATGTCAGTGTGGGCATGTCTATAGAGATGCACTTCATGAATAAGAAAATTAAGTTCCAAATATGTAAGATTATTTGATGAAATAGAGTTGTATCAGCTGAAGAACAGAGGTTAGAATGAAGCCTTAATTACCATAACCTTAAAGAATGCACATTACCTAGATTTAGGGACATGTCCAGAAACATCCTTTTTAAGTAATAATTAAAAGTTTGTCTTTATAGAAGTAACACTGGTTTGCAACACTGTATGTGGTTTAGGACCATCAGAGTCACCTTCTCAGATGTATGTCGACACACCACCCCCACCACCAAAGCACCCAAAGTTCTTTACTTGAAGCCGTGGGGCCTTCTTGCCCTTTGTTCCAACCTCCCCAACCTTCTCCAGAAGCTTCAAGCTTACAGTTACACTTCTAGCATTTGGTTTGGTTGAGTTTTCTTCATCGTTTTCTCTATATACATTCCACAGTGAGTGAAACCATCTGGTCTTTATCTTTCTCCTGACTTACAGAAATAACCTTTCTATCAGAGAAACCGACCCTAAGGCAGGGCAAACATCTAGAGGTAGAGTTTTGTCCTAAGATATCCCCTCCTGATCAAGTGAGACCTACTTTCTCTCCTCTGACATCCTAGGCACCCATCCCATTCCATAGCACAGGATATAAATTCCTAGTTTGATTCATCTGCTTTAGAAATGACAGCTATGTATATTTTGCACAAATATGTCATTAAATTTGTCTTTTTATCCTCTAACCTAAAAAAAAAATCTGTGCTTTAGAAAACATCATTATCTAATTTTCAATTTTGGAAAAAGCTATTTTTTTAGGGGACCCAATGAAACTTTAATAACTTCTCATGGCTATTAAATACAGATACTATGATTACAATAAAAAGCAACTAATATGCAAATGCTGCATATGAAAACAAATCTACTTAGAGATGCAGATATTATCACTCTTTTTCTTACCTGGACATTGAGATGTAACTTCTTTAGACGTTTCACCAGTGTTTCTTTATTGCATGGCACAAAAGCTTCGAGATGAGAGTAGACACCACTGCGAATGACTGGGCCTACTTCCTGTAGCTGTAACTCAATGCTGACCAGTAACAAATAAATAGTATGGAATTTCTTTTAGATGACAACTCATAAGTAAGGCGGCAAAGCTAGTGATTCTTTTTTCATTTTATCTCCCATGATTTCCTAGAGTATTTTTCAAGAAGGAAAACCTAACCACTAGAGAGGAAAGTTACATAAAGTTTCTATGAGTCTAGTTTAGGAGTTCTAGCCTAGTTCATATATTCAGAGTCTAGATCATATAACCACAAGCAAGCTGGAAGATAATTTTTAATGACAGCAAAGTTTACTTTTTGGGGTAGGGTAAAGTGCAAGCTCTTGATTACAAACTGAAGCTCATTTTTCCAAAGAGACCCACACTCCCCTTCACCCTTCTACTTCTACTCCACTGGAGAGTCATACAGTTTCAAATGGGTTGGTAGTTATTTTCCCCTAGAGGTATTTGAAAATATATATATATTATTCGATAGTAAAAGCCCTGTGGCAACAGAGTCTATAGACTTTTCAGCCATCCTTGTCCCCCCACTTTTGTGCCTGCATTACACAGAGTATGTGACAGTTTGCTCTAGTACTGTTTCCACTGACAAACTAAGGATGTTAGACAAAAAACAAGTTGTTAAATAATACACAGTTCTCGGTTATTAAAAAATAACAGAGAAAAGAGTTTGTAACAGTCACCAGATTCTCAGCAAGGCAAACTTAATAATAAATAATTGCAGTCCTCGAAAATGGAAGACATTATCTATCTGGCAGCTGCTACTGTGGTTAAGATGAGAACAGACGCTGACTGAAAGCTCAAGACCAAACTGGGGCTCATCACAACAAACTACATCCAAATCATCATGTCTTATTACAGGAGAAAGTACAGAGAGCCTTAATACTTGTCACAAATGCAAGATGCAGCCAAAGGTTCAATCAACAGCTTTTGCAGAAGAAACCATCCTATCAAATATATCCCTCACTTAGAAGATATACTGGAATTTCAGAAACAATGAAATATGTCAACACAATTAACTTGCAATAAAAAGTTCTTGGTATTACAGGAGTCAAACAATGAAAGACAAGAAGCTTAAGACCTATAAGAAAACAACCACTAATCTCTTGAGTTCTATGCACAAATATTTGGTTAGAACAAATCAGAACAAACATGATTAGCTTTTTATTACAAGTATAGACTCTGGAAAGAAGACATTCTAGGCTCGCCCCATTGTTTAAAATTAGTTGAGAATGCAAACAGATAGAAACTCCAAGTACTACGTGCTTCCAGTTAAGGACAGATCAATTTAATGACCTGCCTATAAAAATCAGTAGTTCCCCCCCCAAAAAAGAAAAATATTTGATTCTCTGCTCCTAAGCCAATAAATAATATTATGTTAATAACTAGAAAAAGGGCCCTCCCCGATGGCGCAGTGGGTTAGGATGCACCACTGCAAGCTAGCTGCAATCTCCTCAGTGTGTGTTTAATCCCCTGCCTGGGAGCTGGTCCACATGGCGCAGCAAACTTCTCCTGTCTCC